TAGTTTCATGTATAAAAACCATATACATATAGAAAAATATAGAAATCCAATAAAAATTGTAGGGACTAATAAATGAGTCCAGTAAGTTTATAAGAAATAAGATAAATATAACAAATCTGTGGTATGTTTTTGCACTAGCTATGAGCATTCTGAAGATGGGATTAAGAAAACTCTTTTTACAGAAGCATTTTAAAAAGTAAAATATTTTGGGGGAAATTTAGCAAAAAAGCATAAAACTTATTCTATACATTTTAAAAAAATAATCATGTTATTTTACTTTATTCATTTATTTACATTATTTTTAAATTTGACCAGAAGACAGAGTGGGAGGCGGAGTGAGAAAATAAGCCACCAACTCTGGGACTCAACCAGCGCCCTTAACTGCCACACCACCTGCTGGCCCCTCTATACATTTTTAATTGCTGAGAAGGATAAAAATAAAATCTAAGAGAACAAAAAATTTCTATGTTAATTCATTGTAAGTCTCAATATTGCTAAGATGGCAATACTCAAATTGATCTACAAATTCTACATAATACTATCAGTGTTCTAGCCAGCTTCTTTGTAGAAATTGATGAAATAATTCTAAAATTTATATAGACGTGCAAGAAACCCAGAGCAGTCAAAACAATCTTACAAAAGAAAATAAAAAAGTTGGAGGACTCACATTTTCCAATTTAATGTTTACTACAAACCAATACTAATCAAGACAGTATGTGCTGGTGAAAGGATGGGCATATAGATCAATAGAATTCAATTGACAGTTCAGACATAAACTCATCTGTCTATGGTTAAAAGGTTGTCTGCAGGATACCAAGAACATTTGATGAGTAAAAGATAGTTTTTTTCAATAAATGGCATTGGGTCAGTTGCATAACGGCATGCAAATTCATAAAGTTGAACCCTTACCTCACAACACATACAAAAAGGAATCCAGAGCTGACTTAGTGGTCAACAGTAATGGGTTGCTCAAGAGAAACTGCATTTCAAATGGTGACTGTAACTTCAATTTACATCCAAGTTATCCTGAAACACACTGGACACATGTGCAAGTATCAAAGATACAACAGGAGCACTGAAGGAAGGGGACCTCAATGTGATCAAACCTGTGGAGGGTGCTTATCTCTTTCTCTCTTTCACTCTGACATGCACACTCACATTGTTCTATTGTGAATAAATTTAAGCAATTAATCCAAATGGGTCAAAGATCAACATGTGAAAACTAATACTACAAAATTCTTGGAATAAAGCATAAAAAAAGTCTTCATAATCTTAAGTTAAGCAATGAGTTCTTTGTCATGACATTAAAAGATTATTAAAAAAGAGAAAAACAGGTAAAATGGACATTAAAGTTTTTTTCTGGAATTATAAAAGACCCAGTATTGCCAAAGCAATTCTGCACAAGAAGAGTGGAGTGGGCTGCATCTCACTCCCTGACCCAAAAATATACTACAAAGCTGTGGTAATCAAAACAGCATGGTACTGGCACAGAAACAGACATGTGGACCAATGGAACATAATAGAGTCCCCAGAAATAAATTCCCAAACATACAGTCAACTGATTTTTGACAAGGGGTATCAGTCAATCCAGTGGGAAAAGGAAAATCTCTTCAACAAATGGTGCTGGAAAAACTGGATTTCTACTTGCAGAAAGATGAATCTGAACCCTTACCTCTCACTTTTGACAAAAATCAAGTCAAGGTGAATCAGAGATCTAAATCTAAGACCTCAATATAAAACTGCTGCTGGAAAACACTGGGGAAACTCTGGGAAACACTGGAGTAGGGAAAGACTATGTGTCAGATAAGGCACTGATAACCAGAATTCACAAGGAACTCAAGCAGCTGTTACAAAAAAAGATGATCAATCCTATTAAAAGATGGGAGAATGAGTTGAAAAACCCACTCTCTAAAGATGACATACGAATAACTAAAAGCCATATGAAAAAATGCTCAACATCCCTCATTGTAAGGGAAATGCAGATCAAAACATTAATGAGATATCACCTAACCCCAGTCAGAATGACTAAGATTATTAAAAAAAAAAAAAAAAAAAAGATAAATGCTGGAAGGGGTGTAGTGAAAGGGAACTCTCTTACACTACTGGTGGGAATGTCAATTGGTCCAACCACTGTGGAGAACAATTTGGAGATTCCTCAAAAATCTACAAATAGAACTACCTGTGATCCAGCAATCCCATTCCTTGGTATCTACTCAAAGGACAGAAGAATGTTTAATCCGAAAAGTGCTTGCACAGCAATGTTTATTGTGGCACTTTTCACAATTGCTAAGTCATGGGACCAAGCCTAATGCCCATGAACTGATGAATGGATAGAGAGACTGTGGCATATATACTCAATGGAATACTAATCAGCCATAGAAAACAACAAAATCCTGACTTTTGACAGAAAGTGGATGAATATGGAAGATTTACTGTTGAGTGATGCAAGCCAGGCTATGAAGGAGAGATATTGTATGTCCCCACTTAATATATACTGAGTGTCTGCACTCTATGACCAAAACTGATTGACTAAAGGATATAGAAAGACAGTATATGGATGTAAATACCAGATACGGTGTGTGTGAAAGAGTAGGGTATGAGGAAGTTCATTTAGAAGAAAAATGGGGAAGCAAAGCATTAATGAGAGAAAGAAATGTGGTGTTATCTGTGGAAGATATTTTATAGCTTTATCAACTGGAGTAGGGACAATGGCACAACATTTAAATTTTTCATTTTTTAATAATTTACTGCTGAATGAAGCAAGCCAGGCTATGAAGGAGAGGCATTGTATGTCCCCACTTAATATATACTGAGTGTCTGCACTCTAGGACTGAAACTAATTGACTAAAGGATATAGAAACACAGTATATAGATGTAAATACCAGATATAGTGTGTGTGAAAGAGGAGGGCCTGAGGAAGGACATTTAGGGGAGGGACAGGGAGGCAAAGCATTAATGGCACAAAGAGGTGTAGTATTATCTGTTGAAGATATTTTGTAGTTTTATCAACAGTACTAGGGAGAAATGTTCACCTGTTGAAATATTAATTTTGTAAGCTAAGTCATGTGATTGAATGTATAAAAGAAAAATGAAATAAAAAATGTAAAAAGAAATAAAGAAAAAAAAGTAAATTTTTAAAAGTTATATTTCAAAGGAAACTATTTATAAAGAAAGTGAGGAGTCTATAGAGTGGTAGAAAATATTTGCATATAATATCTCATTAGGAATGTGTACCTAGAATTATAAAAATTGTACAAATGAAAATTTAAAATTTAACTAATGTAACCCTCAAAATTCCTTCACTGCTGTACATAATCTAATCTCTCATTATCTGTTTTAGAACCTCAATTACTATGCTCATAATCAGATGGGAGTAATCTACTTTCCACCTCTATGAGGTTTATAAGTTAGAAGCTATTCAACTTTGATATCTGCCAGTTTAAATAACTTATGGGTTATGACAAACAAGTAGTACTAAGAGGAAAATATTTATTTATTGAAAATTAAAACAAACTAAACGACCTGGTCTAATGCTTTGGGGAAGAAAAAGGTATGATTTGCTTATTGACAGATTTCTCAAAAATTTCCATGGAAATTATTATGTTAAAAATATCTTTGGTGGGGAACCAGCAGTTAGCATAATGGCTATGTCACTGGATTCCCACAGAGTCGACCAAGGTTCGTGTCCCGGACCTGGTGGCTTAAAACTCACGCTGGGCGCGTGTGCGTGCGTGCCCAAGATCCCAAGAGGAGAATGGAGGAGAAGGGATTGTGGCGTGACCATCCCCCCTGGGGGGTGATTTCTCACTTTCTGTCTCTCTGTATCTGTCTGTCTGGCGAGTGCACGTGCTGTATAGCGAAAACCTCTCCAAAAAAAAAAAAAAAAATCTTTGGTGGAACCAACAGATGGCATAATTGTTATGCTGCTGGACTTCCACATGGCTGACCGCAGTTTGAGTCCTGGACCTAGAGTCTTGAAACTCATGTCAGGCACATGCGCAAAGGTAACCAAAATCCCAAGAGAAAGGTGAGGTACAAAGGATTGAGATATGGCCGTCCCCCCTAGGAGTAATTTCTTGCTATCTGTCTTTCTGCCTTTCTGGTAAATGCACACGCCCTATAGCAAAAATCTCTCTGAAAAAATGCCTTTTGCTTTTGGTGTAATTTTATTTTCTCTTGGAACTAATCCCTTCCATTCTAATTTTCAACTTTGTTTGAATAGAGAGGGACAGCATTTTCTCTTAAGTTGGTTTGTATTTTCTCTGTATTGTGAACATATATTAAATTCTGTTTTTACTTTCTCTTTTTTTGATTAATTAAATGTCATCATCTTTTTTAAAACTGTTATTAACTTTCTCCTTTTCTTCCCTTGTCTCTCCCTTCTTTCCTTCCTTCTTTTTTTCTCTATTTCTTCTTTTTTTCTTTAGTAAAATAACTTATTTTTTCCCAAATGCAACTGCAACTATGAAAATAAAATATTCCAAAGCAGCTTTAATGTGTTTCTTGCTTCCATATGTGTATACACACACACACACACACACACACACACACATCTGTGAACATTATAAATTTTAAAATAGTTTAAAACTGTAGGACTGGCCCTATGGCCTAGTGGTTAAGACAGCTGGGTCCTAAAAGACCAAACAGTATATTCAAATCATGGCTCCAATGGGTTGAAAAACATACTAGTTATGTGTGCATGTGGCACAGTCTTGATAGGATGGAGAAATAAAAGAGAAAGGCTAGTGGAATGACAACACCCCAATGGGAGTTCTTTCTCCCTCGTCCTCTCTCTTTCTCACTGTTTCTCTCTGGTGAGTACATGTACTCTCTGGCCAAAAGAAAAGGAAGAAAAATCTTTAAACTGCATCCTTTTTAGAGTTGGAAAACTATAAAGCCAGGGGATATCAAACAATTAGACAATACTTCAGTTACTTTGTAAACTAAGTGACCATTTTTACTGGACATATTCCACTTTTTCCACATTTATTTATCAATGCTCAATAATTTTTACAAATGTTCTGGACTCTTTTATTTGTCAACTGAGGGAAAAACCTAGTTACACTGTCTAGTACTTTCCTTAGAGCTACCTGCATCTCTTTGTTCCTAAGACTGTAAACGATGGGGTTAAGCAGAGGTGTCAGCACCGTATATGTCACAGACATCAGCATGTCTTCACCGAATGAGTCACGGTTCTTTGGCCTCAAATAGACAAAGCAAGCAAAGCCATAGTGTATGGACACGACTGTGAGATGGGAAGAACAAGTTGAGAAGGCCTTATACCTCCCCTTCACAGAGGGCATCTTCATGACTACAGACACAATGAAGACATAGGAAATCATAATTAAAGTAAAACTACCCACCAAAACAAAGGCAGAGAACCCAAAAATAGCCATTTTATGATGGGAAGTATAATCACAAGCAAGGCTGACCACAGGTGAGATGTCACAGAAAAAATGTTGGATGATGTTGGAATCACAAAACGACAAGCTGAATACAGTGAGGATGATGCACAGAGAAACCAGGAACCCAATCATGCAGGAGGCCATCATGAACTGAAAGCAGATCTTTTGGGTCATCAGGATTGAGTACTGCAGTGGGTTGTGGATAGCTATGTAACGGTCATAAGACATGGCAGCCATTATGAAACAATTGTTGGCTGCCAAGCCCAAGAAGAAAAACATCTGTGTGGCACACTCGGAAAGAGAAATGGTCTTGCTCTCTGATAGCAGGTCTACTAACATGCGTGGAAGGACCACCATAGACGTACAGGTTTCTGAAAGGGACAGGCCACAGAGAAAATAGTACATGGGAGTGTGAAGGTTGTGACTGAAATTGATGGCCACCATGATTGACAGATTTGCAGCTATGATGGTCACATGGGAGAAGAAAATTACCATGAAGAGGAAGTTCTGCAGGTCTGGGAAACTGGAAAATCCCCATAGAAGGAATATACTCACTGTGGTGTAATTGCCCATCTTCCTGGTGGGCATGGAGTCTATTCCACAGGTGCAGAGTTACTGTTGGTCAAGACTCTGAAATAATTATTAACAGCTCTCTCTGCACTGATATCACCTGGACTTTATGTCAAGCCCCGTAGCAAGTATAAGGAAACTCTTAGAGAATCTGAAAAAAAGGATATAAATATATCTCACTGAAATCAAGGCTAGGAGACTGAATGAAGAGGAGGATTCTTATAGAATGAGAGTCTCTATAAACTTCATACTGTGGGCCAAATTATTTCCTTGGATTTTACTCTTGAAACTGTTCTTTATGTCTCTTGTCTCCATTCTAGATCTGCAAGAAAGGAGCAAAACATGAATTTAAATGCTATAATCCAACCCACTGGATTTTAAGATGCCACATTTTCAGATGCTTTTTGTAATCCTTGGCACTTAGAAGTGCTTAATAAAATGTTCATTAAGTGAGGAAAATAAAATAATTAAATCATTAAAAATTTAATATATCATTTTAAAATTCTGGAGAGATCAATGAAAATTTTTTAAAGAACATTAATTTTTATGAAATTCAATCTACAATGCAGTATCTCAAAGAGTTATATACGTAGTAATGACTAAACAAGATAAATGAATTTAGCATGTAACTTCTTGGTTTCTCTCTGAAGCTTAGTATTCACAATATCAATTATTTTTAATACAATAATTCATATTGTGAATACTAATACAATATTAATGCTAATACAATAATCCTTAATACATATCAATAATTTTTTAATTAGTCTAAATATATCCAATAGCTAGCACAGCTGACACATACCTATACATGTACCCAAATCTGACCCTAGGCATAAACCCCAGTGAGTAGAATGAACATACTATAAAGTAGTACCCAGCTGTGCCCATACACCTTGCTGCAGTCATCAAATGTGCATTTTTTTCCTCCTGCAACTTTTTACTCCTCCACATCTTTTACCTCAATAAGTCACTTCTAAAATCCCAGATATCTGTTTGCCAACATCTTAATCTTTTTAATAATTTCCCCTGATATTACTCTGCATCTACTCCACAGAGTGAATATGGTCTGTACTCAACACAAACTTTTTTTATGTCATGCTATGCCTCTTCATTGTAGATGTCTTTTTGATCCCCTTTGCTTACGAGCTAGATAATGCCAAGAACTTCTAATTTTTATTATACGTTTTAAGTATATGGTTTTATATATCTTTAGAGTTATCCTAAGAGAATGTCTGTGCCTGACAGAAGAAATGGAAAGATATGAAGATATGATCATAGAGTGAAGTGCAGATACCAGGGCATGTAGGGTAGGAGAGAAGGCACTAGAGATTGAGTAATAGAGGGTATGTGGGAGGGGGAAAGGTAGGAACATTTAGCAGACAAAAGAATGTAAAGTTCTTTGTTGAGAAAAAAAAAAGAATAAAAAGAAAGCCAAATGACATTTTTAAAATGATATTAAAATATTATTGTTTGCAGTGGGAGACTGTGGCTGAGAGTGATCCTTGATTTGTCAGAAGTGAATCAGGTGATATGCACACTTGCACAGCATATTTATACCTCGACAGTGAGAATCTAGAGAACTAGTTGACTGCTTGGCTAGTTGATTATATTTGATTTCATCTCACCACTAATGCCTATGTATGCATTGGAGATTTTGCCTGTTTATTCCTTTTTTTTTTTGCCATGAATATCCACTATATGAGCAACATCCCACTTTTCCCATATAGAGCATTTCCTTTTATGACTCTTCTACTTACCTATGTTATTTTCTCTAACTTGTAATGTCCTTCCTGCCATTCTCTGCCTGCTGAAAGCATAGCTTTCTTAAAGGGCAACTCGAATGTCATTTCTCATCAGAAGTCTCCCTAAACCTTTCTGACTGTGTAAATCATCTTCTACATTGACATGACATTTTCTTGTAATGTGATTTTTAAAAAACAATTTGACTCCTACATTAAATATAGCAGAGACTTGTATAGAATTTGATATTCTTCAATTTACAGCATAAGCTGAGTAACTGTAGGTTTTTGACCAAGATTATTTCAATGGCCATAAATATATATATAATCCCATATTCTTCAGAAAGCCTTCCATGACTATTACTTCAATCCATTTACTAATTCCTTCTCAATCCCTGTTTGGTCCTGTAGATTTTAAGAATCATGCCACCTAGCAATGTGAAAGCAATGAGTAGATGCTTTCTAAATATTTGCTTTGTTGCGTTTATGAAAGCTGAACAACAATGAAAATGATCAAAAACATCTCAAAACTTCAGGAGTGGTTGCTTAGATCTTAGAAAGAAAAAAATTATTTTTACATTCTAGATACTACCCATATTTATTTTAGATTAAATCACAGTTGTTGTATAAATTATCTTCTATAGAATGGCATTTAAGAATCACTAAAAGAACTCTATCAAAACAATATAATTCCACACACCAATACCCATCTGAAGTTCTTGGCAAATCTCTCCAAGGAAAGAAATCTCTGGAAAAACAAAATATTGGACTTTCATAATGCTTTTCATATATGTTAACGGTAAGTTCTCATTTCCTCCTACTATTTCAATACAGTAGTGATAGAAGAGATGTACATTTGACATTATTTCCATTCTTCCAAATGACCCTGACAGCCACTACAGAACAAGATGCCTATAATATTGCATCAACTCTTCTGTTTGCTTTGCCCCAGATTTCCCATCTTTTTACACTTGGCTTTTGGCTTCAGTTGGTCATTCTGTTAACTCTTTTCAATTTTTTGAAGCTTTCTCTCATACATTTTTCTAAGTTCCCTTTCTACCAAGAATAAAAAAATTGAAAACATTAATTTTCACCTTTTATGTGTCCATAGTTTATTCAATACCGTCTAACCTACAAATTCTTGGTTATTAGAATATATAAAATAATGTTCATTGCAAAGAGTGAAAATAAAACCTCTAAAATTCTCACCTTCTACTCTTAAAAATCATTAAGCAATTAATCTGCAGGAAGAATTTACTCTCACAACTCAGCTGTGTGTCTGCAGTCCCTCCTGTGATTTCACATATTTCATAATTCTGAGATAAATTTTAAGGCAATTTGTTCCTTTGGAATGTTTGCCATGAGTCCCCACTGAATTTAGAGCCTTTTATAAAATAAAAAGTGGGGTCATTATTTTTTATAGAAGGAGCTCAGAACTGTCGAGATTTTAATGAGAGTCCTGGGGCCAGTGCAGACCATTATCTTGAGACTACTTCTTTATTTTTTTTCTTTTTTAATCTATTTATTTATTTACATTTTTTTATACACTCAATTGTATTATTTAGCTTAGAAAGTGAACATTTCGATATGTGAAGATTTCTCCCCGGTCCAGTTGATCAAAATATAACAACACTACCCCCCTGTCCCGACAATGCTCTGTCTCTGTATCCCTCCTCCAAAAGGTCTTGTGCTCTGTATTACCTAACATGATGCTTACAAAAATGTTTTTTTTTTTCTTTTAATCTTCACATACCATACGGACTTTTCAGTGATGTTTGCTCTTATTCTTCCAACAAATAGTAGACATAATTGCAATTCAACTTGCTAAAAATATCTCTTGGAATGTAGATAATTCATTACCTTCGGCATATTTTACTTCCTGTACAATAATACCATTTATTTTATAATTCTTTTAAACTTCCAAGTCTCTCAGGTCTCTTCTACACTATCCTCCAGGCAAGGGAATGGGTTGTTATTACAAGCTAATTGCCTGGGGAAACAAAAAGAGGGTAGGAAGAAAACGAACACACAGTGTGATTACTGTGATCACTTTCTCGTGGGACAACCTGCTATAGAAGACCTTGCTGAAAAGGAAAATTCGATTTCATCCCAATCCCCAGTTACTGCACTGGCATTTATAATAGCCACAAGTGGCTCCCAATCACCCCTCTCATCAGTTCATGCCACAAAGGCATCACCGTCTGTACTGTCTTCCACCCAATGTGCTATCAGATTTTATCTCCAATATCTGCTCTCATAGTCTTAATACTTCAGGTAAATCAAACAACACAATGTCTTCTAATTAAATTCTATATTTTCCTTATTTTGTTTCCCATTCCTTCTGTCTGAAAAGCCCTTTTTCTGATATAACCATCCAAAATCTTGCACATATTTGTAGGTTTGGAACAAATGCCACTTTATCCCAGAAGCCCATTGTTTGCGTAATGCATAAAAACCAAGACAGAAATTTCATCATTATGAATGAATTATAAAAGGAGAGGAACTTTAAATTGCCTCCACTGGGTACCAGACCTTCAATGTTAACTTCTTTGGTATATCAGTGTAGGTAGCATAATAATAAATTAAGAACTTTTGAAACTAAGTAAACATTTGTGGGCTTTTCCTAGATCTTCCTTACCAAGCCAGGGAATATATCTTCCACATTCTTTGAGAAGTGGATGCTAATGTTGATAAGCCATACAATTTATTTTTTCCTTTTCTTTATTTGGAAGAGGTTTTTGCTATAGGGCGTGTGCACTCGCCAGACAAAGAAACAGAGAGACAGAAAGCGAGAAATCACCCCCCAGGGGAGATGGTCACTCCGCAATCCCTTCTCCTCCATTTTCCTCTCTGGATCCTGGGCATGCACGCACATGTGCCCAGTGTGAGTTTAAGCCACAGAGTCCTGGACTCAAACCGCCGTCAACTAAATGGGAGTCCAGCGACACGGCCATTATACTAACTGCTGGTCCTGAGTCATACAATTTTGAGAATTTCTCTTGACCTAAAGGAATGTAATTGACTAGAAATATCTAGGAGTGCATGCTCTTCCAACCAGGGTAGCCCGCAGTCAACAAATGAATAATACGGTGATTTATAACAATAATAAAAATGCTCTCTTCCAGCAAGATATGTCTGTTCATGCTCCAGTGTTCCCTGTGAGATTAGACTGGAGCTAACTTCAGCTGACCACCTTTTTTATTTGGTTTCTCCCCATGCCTTGTCCTACTTCTTTTTCATCCTTAAAGTTTTCCCTCAAGACCA